CTTTTGAATTGGAGCAGGTCTGGGAGTGTATTAGAAGACTACAGGCTTTGGAGTAAGTGATTGAGGACTCCTTCTCAACTCTTCTTTAATTGTGTGACTTTGGGCAGGGTACTAAACGTCCTTCAAGTCTTAAGGGGCTCTTAAGACTTGTTAGCCTTGGAGTCTGCATGTATGTGTATGTGTATGTATTCACAGTTGTACAAATGTGTGTATATGTAGACATACAAAGGGATTCCAAAAGTTGGTGGAAAATGGAATTAAAAGACAATGGAATTCTTGACAGACTGCTGGCTGTCTAGATCCATGGCTATTGTCTACTAGTTGAAAATGGAAAGCAATAACATTCATCTGACCAGTTTTCTCCTAAAGCCATTTCCTGATGACACTGATGATGATGATGATGGGACTCAGTTATGTTTTTTTATTTCAGTCACTCCTAATAAAGAAAAATTTGAAGAAACAAAAGGATCTGAAACACACACACAAAGACAGTGGAATTTTCCTACATACCTTAAAGCCTCCTTATACACATACAAGTTATTAACTGCTATTAAGTTGTCCCCCAGCACACGATATTCCCATGCACAACAGAACAAAGTGCAATCCTATCCTGTACCATAGCCATGATGGCGGCATGTCAGATCGCTGGGATTCATCAGATTTTCTCTGATTGGTTTTTGGAAGCAGATCACCAGGCCTTTCTTCCTGTTGTATCTTGGTTTGGAAGGTCCTCTGAAACCTGTTCAGCATCATAACAGCATGCAGGCCTCCACTGACAGACAGATATTGGTTGTGCATGAGGCAAATTGACCAGAAATGGAACACAGGTCTCTCACATGGAGAAATCTTTCACTGAGCCATCATTTCCCTTTACGTGAACATACATACATATCCCATAGGTACAGAACTTGGCACATTATGGATGTTCTATGAATGGCCGTTCAAATGATGATAGTCAAGGAGCCTTTATGGTATCCCTCAAAGTAGGTTGAGGCAGGAAAGGAGTTCATTCATTCTACTCAATCATCAGGGAGTATACAGCTATACTGTCCACGGCAGTAGTTGCTAGCCACATGTCGCTGTTGAAAACTGGAAATGTGGCTTGTCTAATTGGAGGTGTGCTATAAGTGTAAAATATGCCCACTGGTTAAGATACAGGATGAAAATGAAGAATATAAAATACCACCTGGATACTCTCTCTCTTTAATCATTTTTACATTGATTTTATATTGATATGATAATATTTTGGAAAGAAGTGACTAAATAAAGCTTTTACTTTTTAGAAATATGGGGACTAGAAAGTGTAGCATTACACCTGTGGCTCACATTTTATTCCCCTTATGCAGTGTTGGCTGTTCCCCCACTCTCTCCAGTCCCCCTGTCTGCAGCTATGTCCATATGCTCTGAAGGAAACCGGGGGTCTGAGAGCCACTCACGGCTTTAATCTTGCTTTTTATTGTCAAAGACTGACTTTTGACTTTGTGCTTATTAATAAAAAACAAAACAAAACAAAATGAAAGTCCTGCATCCTTTGATCATGGAGATTATAATGTCCAGCTTTCTTTTTTTTGTGTCTTTGGTTTATAATTTTGGTGAAAATAGATGACACTCTGTACCCCATGAAACTTCTAAGAGAAATACTAGGATCTCCTTTAGGAGTTACTTGTGAGGCAGTAGAGGAACCATGGAATAGACTGGCTTTGAACCAGGTTTCCTGTTTTGTTCCATCATCCATCTGAACTTTAGTTCCCATAGCTCTAAACTGAGAGTGCTTGTGATTTTTTGTAAGGATTGATCAAATAGAAAAATGGACACATGAATAGTACTTCTACCCTGTGTAATATTCTGTAAATATGGGCGAGAAGGGAAGTAACTTACACTGAATGCTTTCTGTGTCCAAACCTCTGTGATGGTTATTTCTGTATGGTGCAAT